GTTGCTAACAGGTGTATAGAATCAAGCACACAGCCATACAATCTCCACAGACAAACATTGGCAGTAGAATGACCTTATGGAAGAGCTCAGTGACTTTCAACGTGGCACCATCATAGGATGCCACCTTTCCAGCAAGTCAGTTCGTCATATTTCTGCCATGCTAGAGCTGCCCCTGTCAACTGTAAGTGCTGTTATTGTGAAGTGGAAACGTCTAGGAGCAACAACGGCTCAGCTGCGAAGTGGTAGGCCACACAAGCTCACAGAATGGGACCGCCGAGTGCTGAAGCACGTAGCGCGTAAAAATAGTATTTCCTCAGTTGCAACACTCATTACCGAGTTCCAAACTGCCTCTGGAAGCAACGTCAACCCAATAACTGTTCGTCGGGAGCTTCATGAAATGGATTTCCGTGGCCGAGCAGCCGCACACAAGCCTGAGATCACCATGCGCGATGCCAAGCGTCAGCTGGAGTGGTGTAAAGCTAGCCACCATTGGATTCTGGAGCAGTAGAAACTCATTCTCTGGTGTAATGAATCACGCTTCACCATCTGGCAGTCCGACGGACGAATCTGGGTTTGGCGGATGCCAGGAGAACGCTACCTGCCCGAATGCATAGTGCCAACTGTAAAGTTTGGTGGAGGAGGAATAATGGTCTGGGGCTGTTTTTAATGGTTCAGGCTAGGCCCCTTAGTTCCAGTAAAAGGAAATCTTAACGCTACAGCATATAAATACGTTGTAGACGATTCTGTGCTTCCAACTTTGTGGCAACAGTTTGGGGAAGGCCCTTTCCTGTTTCAGCATGACAATGCCCCAGTGCACAAAGCGTGGTCCAGAAATGGTTTGTTGAGATCGGTGTGGAAGAACTTGGCCTGCACAGAGCCCTGACCTCAACCCCATAAAACACCTTTTGGATGAATTGGAATGCCGACTGCGAGCCAGGCCTAATCGCCTAACATCAGAGCCCGACCTCACTAATGGTCTTGTGGCTGAATGGAAGCAAGTCCACGCAGCAATGTACCAACATCTAGTGGAAAGCCTTCCCAGAAGAGTGGAGGCTGTTATAGCAGCAAAGGGGGGACCAACTCCATATTAATGGCCATGATTTTGGAATGATATGTTCGATGTTTGAGTCCACATACTTCTGGTCATATAGTGTGTTTATATATATATATATATATATATATATATATATATATATATATATATATAAATGTCAGACTTGATTTGCCCTAAAGTAAAATGTATCAACCCATACAAAAATGTCCATGAATTATAATCGACACAATAATTCACATTTCCCGTTGCTGCTGATTTGAAAAACGGGTAAAATTAAGTTCCTGCATCTGTATGTAAAATGCAATCAGGTAATAATAGCAAGGATAACAGCAGTACTGTAACCAACATCTGCAACAATGATAGATAACCTGTAATGCCGACTAGGTGGAAAATCTGTCGATGTGCCCTTAAGCAAGGCACTTAACCCTAATTGCTGATGTAAGTCGCTCTGGATAAGAGCGTCTGCTAAATGACTTAAATGTAAATGTAAATGTAATGAATGCAAACACATGGAAATGAAATGAAATGAATAATGCTAATGTTTTTGAATTCTCAAGTGCTACTGCAATATTGTATTTTTAATTACCAAACTGCAACTTGTTATTTTCCTAGGTTCGTCCAGGGAGGTGAAGGCCCCTGAGGATGTGTCTGCGCGGATGCTCAAGAAGCTGAGGGGCCGGACTGAGTTCACCGTGCTGGTCACCCTGAAACAGGAGCACCTCAACTCTGGGGTCATCCTCTCCATCCACCACTCTGAACAGAGGTACGCCAGAGTCCTTACAATACGTACTGAATACAATGCTGGAGTCCTCACAATACACACCGAACACAATGCCAGAGACCTCACAAAACACAATGATCAGATTATGAATGGCTCACCTTTGCAGTGAAGTCCTTCTTAAAATATGGGAGTGTCATTTGTGTGTAGAATGTGTTCAGGGTACAGTGCCTTGCAAAAGTATTCAGCCCCCTTGGCGTTTTTCCTATTTTGTTGCATTACAACCTGTAATTGAAATTGATTTTATTTGGATTTCATGTAATGGACATACACAAAAAGTCCAAATTGGTGAAGTGAAATTAAAAAAATAACTTATTTCAAAAAATTAGTACAAATAAATAACAGAAAAGTGGTGCGTGCATATGTATTCACCCCCTTTGCTATGAAGCCCCTAAATAAGATCTGGTGCAACCAATTACCTTCAGAAGTCACATAATTAGTTAAATAAAGTCCACCTGTGTGCAATCTAAGTATCACATGATCTCAGTATATATACACCTGCTCTGAAAGGTCCCAGAGTCTGCAACACCACTAAGCAAGGGGCACCACCAAGCAAGCAGCACCATGAAGACCAAGGAGCTCTCTAAACAGGTCAGGGACAAAGTTGTGGAGAAGTACAGATCAGGGTTGGGTTATAAAAAATATCCAAAACTTTGAACATCCCACGGAGCACCATTAAATCCATTATACATTTTTTTGAAAGAATATGGCACCACAACAAACCTGCCAAGAGAGGGCCGCCCACCAAAACTCACGGACCAGGCAAGGAGGGCATTAATCAGAGAGGCAACAAAGAGACCAAAGATGCTGCAAAGCTCCACAGCGGAGATTGGAATATCTGTCCATAGGACCACATTAAGCCGTACACTCCACAGAGCTGGGCTTTATGGAAGAGTGGGCAGAAAAAAACCATTGCTTAAAGAAAAAAATAAGCAAACACGTTTGGTGTTTGCCAAAAGCCATGTGGGAGACTAACAAAACATATGGAAGAAGGTACTCTGGTCAGATGAGACTAAAATTGAGCTTTTTGGCCATCAAGGAAAACGCTATGTCTGTCGCAAACCCAACACCTCTCATCACCCTGAGAACACCATCCCCACAGTGAAGCATGGTGGTGGCAGCATCATGCTGTGGGGATGTCTTTCATCGGCAGGGACTGGGAAACTGGTCAGAATTGAAGGAATGATGGATGGCGCTAAATGCAGGGAAATTCTTGAGGGAAACCTGTTTCAGTCTTCCAGAGATTTGAGACTGGGATGGAGGTTCACCTTCCAGCAGGACAATGACCCTAAGCATACTGCTAAAGCAACACTCGAGTGGTTTAAGGGGAAACATTTAAATGTCTTGGAATGGCCTAGTCAAAGCCCAGACCTCAATCCAATTGAGAATCTGTGGTATGACTTAAAGATTGCTGTACACCAGCGGAACCCATCCAACTTGAAGGAGCAGGAGCAGTTTTGCCTTGAAGAATGGGCAAAAATCCCAGTGGCTAGATGTGCCAAGCTTATAGAGACATACCCTAAGAGACTTGCAGCTGTAATTGCTGCAAAAGGTGGCTCTACAAAGTATTGACTTTGCTTTGGGGGGGGGTGAATAGTTATGCACGCTCAAGTTCTGTTTTTTTGTCTTATTTCTTGTTTATTTCACACACAAAAAATATTTTGCATCTTCAAAGTGGTAGGCATGTTGTGTAAATCAAATGATACAAACCCCCAAAAAATCCATTTTAATTCCAGGTTGTAAGGCAACAAAATAGGAAAAATACCAAGGGGAGTGAATACTTTTGTAAGCCACTGTACATACAGTATTTGTGTGTTTTTGTGTAACTGATAGATGCGCACTCACACACACACACACACACACACACACTACAGGTTAATTTGTTTAACTGTGTGTACATTTGAAAGTATTTTGTCTGTTATGTATTTTTCGTTATTTGTCGGACCCCTGTAAGACTAGCTGTCACTATTGGCGTTGGATAATGGGGATCCTAATAAATTAAAAATCTTATTTGATACCTGCAGTACTGACAGACCAGACTTAACAATTCTGTACAGACAAAGCAAATTACCCTGTACGGCACGCTATCATTTTATTCCAAGTGGTTGTGAACAGAAAAGTGATGAGCCTCCCTTCCCTTCCCGGTTAGTTAGCATGCTGATCTGTTTTCCATTAGCTAGCTGTGCAGCCGACAGATCAGACTGGTAATCAGAATGCCACATAATGTGTTGATTGAACTGTGTATATTAAAGTCAGTGCAAAGTAAAGACCTCACTGCGATGTTAATGACTTTCCCCAGCTCTGATAAGCCAGGCTGTGTGTTCACTTCAAGCTACAGGCTTGGTTTAGAAATGGTTTGCTGAGTGATCTCGGAAGGCAGCGTTACAGGATTTGTGCAGCTGGTATATTGTGCAATGCTGGGGGAGAATAACTCATTAGATCGGATTGTAGATAAATAAACTCCACCGTTACAGTTCCTCTTCTAAGTGGTTGTTTTTCTTTTGTTTAATGCTTTGAAGCGAGTAGCTCCAAATAAGTCTCTGTCTTTAAAGCCGGAGCTGATGACTCTTTATTGGCAACTCTGGCAGCTCTTTCTATTAGTGTCACTTCATATGGGTAATCTCTATGGACTGGACAGATGGAAGGCAGGGGTTTCCTGGAATACCAATGTACCACTGTCCCCATGAGTTTACTACTCTCACTCACATCACATGGTTGTACTAGTGTTGTCTGGTGTTGTGTCTCGCTGAAGCTGTCCTTAACAGCCATAGAGTAGCATTAAGCTTGCACATATTCCTGGGATTGGCTCTTGAAAGGGTTAGCAGATCTACAGAGACATGTGTCATGATTCTTTGAAACAGGGTGAAGCATTTATATTTCACCATGGAGAGAGTGTGGTGTGAGATCTACTTTACTGAAAGGATTTGGATTCTGGGAATGAACTGGAACTGTTCAGCTGTCTGTAGAACTATGGGTGTGTTCTGTCCTTTATTGTATTGCCTTTTACCTCTGTTAGTGATGTTGAGGTTGAATTGGGTAGAATGGGATGTGTGTGTGTGTGCGTGCCTACATCCGTGCGTTTGCACATGTGTGTATGTGCATAGCAATTCCTCTCTCCATATTCCAATTCCTTTTTTCATCCATATTCTGTCTGCTCATCCCTTCAGGTTCCTGGAGTTGGAGAGCAGTGGGCAGCGCAGTGAGGTGCGTCTCCACTACCGCACCAAGGGTCAGCAGGCCCACACTGAGGTGTTCCCCTACAGCCTGGCAGACGGACAGTGGCACAAGGTCTCTGTGGCGGTCAGCGCCTCTCACATCATACTGCACGTCGACTGCAACAGGTACGCTTCATGAACAGAGCCATAATAATGACACTAATCATGTTTCATTTATTCCAGTATTATTTCCATTGTAAGCTACCTAGGGCTGGGCGGTAAACCGTAAAGAAACCCCAGATATACCGGTATTCATTCATGGACCGTTTAGGATTTTTACTTTACCTTCTATAACGGTATTTAAATGTTTGATTTGTTGCATTAAATAATTTGGTAAGGACTCGAAAAAATGATGGCAAACATCAGTTTTATCGGCAGTAAGAAAACTGCTAAGCTGAGAGCTACTAGCTAACTTTCTAGCACAACAAGTCAACAACTTCGGGAGGGAAAGCTTGCAAAATAGATCCACAGAAATCCGACTGTGTAAATGATAACAAATTAGTGCACGATATTAAGACATTTCAGAAAATTCTGGAACTGAATTGAACAAATAACTATGCAAACAAGACTGTCATACTGTCAAAAATGAAAAATACTGTGATATGATATTTTGGCCATATCACCCAGCCCTAAATATACTTATAAGTAGGGAGTAGGATGACAGAAGAGGGTGTTTTTAGTGTTAGGGGCATTATTACTATTCAATTTATTCAAATATTATTGTTACAAGTTTTAGTGGTTGTAGTATTAGGTGTGGTGTAGTTGGCAATTATGTTTCATGATGAGCGGTAATCATGTTTTGCTGAACCCTCTGTGTTTCTGTTTTTCTGTCTCTGTAGGATCTATGAGAGGGTAGTGGAGATCCCGTTCATGGACATACCTGATGACACAACTTTCTGGCTGGGACAGAGGAACAGCGCCCATGGCTACTTCAAGGTAAATATTACATGTTTTGTAAAGCTGAAAACTCTTAATGGTGGTTTATGTTTGATGGTGGGCGTCATAAACGGTGATGATGCTGCTTGATAAATTATTCAAATCATTGAGGAGAAAATTAAGCGCGTTGGCTCATGGACCATTTTCCCACAATCCACCATGGTACGTACTCCCCACCCCCTTCCCATCCTTGGTTGTTCAACCATGGACTTTATTTATAAAGTCTGGGAATTTAATTGGTCACATTTCTCAAGTTTGCCAATGTAAATTGTGCATTCTTTTTCTCCCTTCTCTCTTATTAAGAATGAATTGACATGTTTGTCCCATATATTGTTTACCCCCTTGTTTACTGCTGCTGTGCATAGCCTGCGTAATTATCCCAGGAACACTGATTTGCTAGAAATCGGTAAAAGCCTTGGCCTGGACCGTGCTCATTAAACATGCTCCATTGTTTATCAGACTTGAAGATGTATTGCCCCTCACAGCGGTTTAATCCCCTCAGGAACATCCTTCCCACAGGGAGAAGTTAGAGTATAATGTCAGCTTATCGGCTTTTACCTATTTTAACCACACTGGTGGTGCTTTGTGTTTGCTGTCGGGCAAATTGATCACCAGAATGTGTGTCTGTGCGTGTGTGTGTACATACATGTGTGTGTGTGTGCATGCGTGCGGTGTGTCTGTGTGCGTATTGTGTCTTTGTGTATCGGTCTGTGTGTGTGTTGCTTCTGGCTGTTGCATTTCCTTAACGTTAATTGGCAGATGAAAGAAGACTTGGAGGTCACCCACTAATCTTGACGTTTGCCCAACACACCTTTCCCTCCTTGCTTCTGAATCCCTGATTAGTGCTGGGAAAGGAAAGCCACATCTCTTCTAAAGAGAAAAAAAACTCCTTAATTAACGATCAGATACACCCCCCCCCCCCCCCCCCCCCCCCCTTCCCTAGTCTAATGGGTTTTCTGCCTTCCACTGAGTCTAAATTACCGGGAGATGGAAACATGTTTAACAAAACACGACTCATGCCTGCTTCCATCTCACCTGATGTTGCCAAGAGGAATCAGCGAATTGGTTTCTTTGGATTTGAATTTATGGCCAGTAAATTGAAGTAGCAAGACAATTTAAAAAAACTATTTCTCATAAGTTGCGCAGCTACAAAAAATCCATTCAAGGAATGGAAGGGGCCAGGTTTCCATGGTTACTGAGTGTCTGGATGTGTGGTTTGACCACAGGACGAAAGGCTATCAAATTAAGAGACCTATGAATCAAATTGAAACTGTATCTCATAGTTATGCTTATCAAAGGAAATCAGGAGAAAACAGAAATTGCTATTATATTCATGACTCCCGTATCATTGGTTCACTTTGCATCCAATTTCAGTCCAATTATCTCACCACAAATCAGACTGTACCAGTCCAGAGAACACATTAACTCAGAATAAACTTGTCAGACTGCCTCCCCGATATTGAAACACACATTTCCAGTAACATTCACTAAATATTTCATACATTTGTTTACTGATAACAGTATTTATTGAAGTTGTGCAAGATTTGAAGATGATGAATCGTGTGTGTGTGTGTGTGTGTGTATGTATGTGCCTGCATGCCACAGTAAATGAACAATAAACTAGGCATATAGACCAAGTTTCATCCCTGTTATCTCTCCTCAACCATACCTATTGCACATTAGTTTCCCTAGCTTCTCTTTATATAACACCATCCACTGCATTGATGATGGCTCTCCTCTCATTTCAGGTGCTATCTGTGATCAAGTAGGACACATTTAGTCTGAAGAGACAGTATGCTCTGTGCTGGCTGTAACTAAGTCTGTGTTTTTTCTGTGTGTGTGTCTGCAGGGTGTAATGCAGGATGTTCAGATACTAGTCATGCCTCAGGGATTCATCTCCCAGTGCCCAGATCTCAACCGGAGTGAGTCCACACTTATTTTATTATAATTTTATTCACCTGTAACATTAAGGTATGTGTACACATGTTGGATCTGTGGTCGGTTCTTTTCTAGCATGCCCAACCTGCAATGACTTCCACGGACTGGTGCAGAAGATCATGGAACTGCAGGATATCTTAGCCAAAACATCCAGCAAGGTACTGGGATGTATCCTGGTCATACACCTTTGTTGTCAAGGCTGATAGCTTAGCCTTAGGCTATTAATTTCTGCTTCAACAAGTTTCCTTCACCATCAAAGATGCAACCATACTGGCTATGATCTACCTCCATACTGGCCATCTATGGTCTACTTATATGAATATACTTTGATCATGTTGTACAGTGAAGATCTCCTTTAGTGCATGGTTGACTGTAGCGGGGCTTGTAGTAGGACTTGTTTCATGTGTAAAGAGATGGATGATATGCACCGATCTGAGGCTCACTCCCCCCTCTAACCTCCCACTCCCTCCCCCCTTCCTCCCTTTGTATCTGGGCTTGGCATGGCCAGCTGTCCAGGGCGGAGGAGAAGATGAATGGTCTGGATGGATGCTATTGTGAGAGGACCTGCAGTGTCAAGGGGGTCGTCTACAGAGAGGACGAGTCCTGGACAGATGGCTGCAGGAACTGCACTTGCTCGGTGGGCTGTGTGTGTGTGTGTGTGTTTCAATGGCCCCATTGTAGACCATGCCTTTGTTTTGGGCTTCAGTTCATCAAGTGTTGGTGGGGAGGTGGGGCAGTACCCCATTGTTGATGGCTTATGTTCTCTTTACTGCATTGGATTGAGAGGAGTGTTGCCCTAGATACCCAAATAAAAACAGGACAGAAAACAAGAAGGATAGAAAATGACCACGGTAACTTGGATTAGACAGATAGAGCAACAGGACTCAGCCATGCTGGCATACCCTCTCAAGGGTCTACTCTTCACCAAGCGAGAATTATTAGACAATTGACTTTAAATACTTATGAGCAGGCTGGGGTTATTTATCAACAGACATATTTCACCCCCTGTCACTCTCCCAGCTATAATACATGAATTCATCTCTATGCCACTGAACTAGGGATGGGGGTTTGAAATAATTTCACTATTTGAATAATATCATGAATTTATGTTGGATATCCGGATATTTTGGAAATAAATGTTTGTTTTTTTAACTTACGTTTTTAAGTTGAGCACTGCTGCGCAAGGGAGAGAGGTTGGTGCTCTATTCAAATCAAATCAAATCAAATCAAATTTTATTGGTCACATGCGCCGAATACAACAGGTGCAGACATTACAGTGAAATGCTTACTTACAGCCCTTAACCAACAGTGCATTTATTTTAAACAAAAAAAGTAAGAATAAAACAACAACAAAAAAGTGTTGAGAAAAAAAAGAGCAGAAGTAAAATAAAGTGACAGTAGGGAGGCTATATATACAGTAAAATAAAGTGACAGTAGGGAGGCTATATATACAGGGGGGTACCGTTGCATAGTCAATGTGCGGGGGCACCGGCTAGATGAGGTAGTTGAGGTAATATGTACATATGGGTAGAGTTAAAGTGACTATGCATAAATACTTAACAGAGTAGCAGCAGCGTAAAAAGGATGGGGTGGGGGGGCAGTGCAAATATTCCGGGTAGCCATGATTAGCTGTTCAGGAGTCTTATGGCTTGGGGGTAGAAGCTGTTGAGAAGTCTTTTGGACCTAGACTTGGCACTCCGGTACCGCTTGCCGTGCGGTAGCAGAGAGAAAAGTCTATGACTAGGGTGGCTGGAGTCTTTGACAATTTTGAGGGCCTTCCTCTGACACCGCCTGGTATAGAGGTCCTGGATGGCAGGGAGCTTTGCACCAGTGATGTACTGGGCCGTACGCACTACCCTCTGTAGTGCCTTGCGGTCAGAGGCCAAGCAGTTGCCATACCAGGCGGTGATGCAACCAGTCAGGATGCTCTCGATGGTGCAGCTGTAGAATTTTTTGAGGATCTGAGGACCCATGCCAAATCTTTTTAGTCTCCTGAGGGGGAATAGGCTTTGTCGTGCCCTCTTCACGACTGTCTTGGTGTGTTTGGACCATGATAGTTCGTTGGTGATGTGGACACCAAGGAACTTGAAGCTCTCAACCTGTTCCACTACAGCCCCGTCGATGAGAATGGGGGCGTGCTCAGTCCTCTTTTTTTTCCTGTAGTCCACAATCATCTCCTTTGTCTTGGTCACGTTGAGGGAGAGGTTGTTGTCCTGGCACCACACGGCCAGATCTCTGACCTCCTCCCTATAGGCTGTCTCATCGTTGTCGGTGATCAGGCCTACCACTGTTGTGTCGTCGGCAAACTTAATGATGGTGTTGGAGTCGTGCCTGGCCATGCAGTCATGGGTGAACAGAGAGTACAGGAGGGGACTGAGCACGCACCCCTGAGGGGCCCCCGTGTTGAGGATCAGTGTGGCAGATGTGTTGTTACCTACCCTTACCACCTGGGGGCGGCCCGTCAGGAAGTCCAGGATCCAGTTGCAGAGGGAGGTGTTTAGTCCCAGGATCCTTAGCTTAGTGATGAGCTTAGAGGGCACTATGGTGTTGAATGCTGAGCTGTAGTCAATGAATAGCATTCTCACGTAGGTGTTCCTCTTGTCCAGGTGGGAAAGGGCAGTGTGGAGTGCGATAGAGATTGCATCATCTGTGGATCTGTTGGGGCGGTATGCAAATTGGAGTGGGTCTAGGGTTTCTGGGATTATGCTGTTGATGTGAGCCATGACCAGTCTTTCAAAGCACTTCATGGCTACAGACGTCAGTGCTACGGGTCGGTAGTCATTTAGGCAGGTTATCTTAGAGTTCTTGGGCACGGGGACTATGGTGGTCTGCTTGAAACATGTTGGTATTACAGACTCAGTCAGGGACATGTTGAAAATGTCAGTGAAGACACTTGCCAGTTGGTCAGCACATGCTCGGAGTACACGTCCTGGTAATCCGTCTGGCCCTGCGGCCTTGTGAATGTTGACCTGCTTAAAAGTCTTACTCACATCGGCTACGGAGAGCGTGATCACATAGTCGTCCGGAGCAGCTGGTGCTCTCATGCATGCTTCAGTGTTGCTTGCCTCGAAGCGAGCATAGAAGTGGTTTAGCTCGTCTGGTAGGCTTGTGTCACTGGGCAGCTCGCGGCTGTGCTTCCCTTTGTAGTCTGTAATAGTTTTCAAGCCCTGCCACATCCGACGAGCGTCAGAGCCAGTGTAGTATGATTCAATCTTAGACCTGTATTGACTCTTTGCCTGTTTGATGGTTCGTCGGAGGTCATAGCGGGATTTCTTATAAGCGTCCGGGTTAGAGTCCCGTTCCTTGAAAGCGGCAGCTCTACCCTTTAGCTCAGTGCGGATGTTTCCTGTAATCCATGGCTTCTGGTTGGGGTATGTACGTACGGTCACTGTGGGGACGACATCATCGATGCACTTATTGATGAAGCCAGTGACTGATGTGGTGTACTCCTCAATGCTGTCTGAAGAATCCCGGAACATGTTCCAGTCTGTGCTAGCAAAACAGTCCTGTAGCTTAGCATCTGCGTCATCTGACCACTTTTTTATTAACCGAATCACTGGTGCTTCCTGCTTCAGTTTTTGCTTATAAGCAGGAATCAGGAGGATAGAGTTATGGTCAGATTTGCCAAATGGAGGGCGAGGGAGAGCTTTGTATGCGTCTCTGTGTGTGGAGTAAAGGTGGTCTAGAGTTTTTTCCCCTCTGGTTGCACATTTAACATGCTGGTAGAAATTAGGTAGAACGGATTTAAGTTTCCCTGCATTAAAGTCCCCGGCTACTAGGAGCGCTGCATCTGGATGAGCGTTTTCCTGTTGATTAATGGCCTTGTACAACTCATTCAGTGCAATCTTAATGCCAGCATTGGTTTGTGGTGGTAAATAGACAGCTATGAAAAATATAGATGAAAACTCTCTTGGTAAATAGTGTGGTCTACAGCTTATCATAAGATACTCTACCTCAGGCGAGCAAAACCTAGAGACTTCCTTAGTATTTGATTTTGTGCACCAGCTGTTGTTTACAAATATACACAGACCGCCGCCCCTTGTCTTACCAGAGTCAGACGTTCTGTCCTGCCGATGTAGCGTATAGCCTGCTAGCTGAATGTTGTCATTGTTGTCGTTCAGCCACGACTCCGTGAAACATAAGATATTACAGTTTTTAATGTCCCGTTGGTAGGATAACCGTAATCTTAAATCGTCAATTTTATTCTCAAAAGATTGAACGTTGGCTAATAGGATTGATGGGAGAGGCAGTTTACTCGCACGCCGTCGGATCCTTACAAGGCACCCGGATCTGCGTCCACGATATCTCCGTCTCTTCCTCACGCGAATGACGGGGATCTGGGCCTTGTTGGGTGTCTGTAGAATATCCTTCGCGAACGCCTCGTTGAAGAAAAAGTCTTCGTCCAATGCGAGGTGAGTAATCGCTGTCCTGATATCCAGAAGCTCTCTTTGGTTATAAGAGACGATGGCAGAAACATTATGTACAAAATAAATTACAAATAACGCGGAAAAACACACATAATAGTACAATTGGTTAGAGGGCTGTAAAACGGCAGCCATCTTCTTCCGGCGCTGTTCGCTGCAGCTGTGGTGGGGCTGTGTGTGCGGGAGCGAGCAGACGAAGGGAGAGAGAGAGACGCAGTAGCCGACTTGGCTACAGCCAAGACTAGCTAACTTGTAGCAGCCACAATGTTATTTATCATCCCATATAACAGTGCCTGTCTTGACTGGAGTAGCCTAGAGAAGCTAGCCAGCTAGCTAAGTTAGCCAGCTATAGCTAGCTAGGCTAATTGAGGCCACACGCTTTCTCCCCAACCCCATTCAGATAAAACAACAGCCTACCTGTTGCTTGCTCATTGTAGCCTACTCCTTCTCATTTTGCTAACTTTTAATTCCGTACTTTTATTCCATCTTGCATGGCATTAGTGAACTCTCACTCCACTTGCTACACATTGAGCCTCTTTGCCGCTTTGATTGGCCAACATAAACAACAAGCTACACACGTGAAGGCTACCGGTGGGCTACCAGTCTTTTTATGGAGCGCACATCATAAAAACTACATTGAAAAGTTTGTTGTTATATTAAATTAATCATTTGAAATGTCATGGTATATCCTTGCATGTAACAATGTCACATGGATATTTTAATTGACTTTAGAAAAAGCCTTTTCAGTGTTCAAGGTTAAAGGTCCAATGCAGCTGTTTTTATCTCAATATCAAATCATTTCTGGGTAACAATTAAGTACCTTACTGTGATTGTTTATTTCTCAAGCAAGAATTTTGCAACGACCGTCTGGGAGTTGTGAGGGGAAAACTAGCTGTTATTGGCAGAGAAGTTGTCAGAACGGCAACAGTGAAATGCGGTAGGCGAAGTCACACGCAGGACACAGAGCTACTGGAAACCGTACTTTAATGAAAGTAGCCAGTGAAAAGAAACTGTCTCCAACATCGGAGAAAACAAACAACCCGCACACTGCCGATGACGCAAACAATGACACACAACACACAATGCACGACAGAGGGTTAAATAGGGAATACAATACAACATAATGGGGAACAGGTGTACACAATCAGACACAACAAGTCAAACACCTAAACATAGATCGGTGGCAGCTAGTACTCCGGGGACGACGAAC